TAAAGTTATATTTACTGTTGTTGTTATGTGCCATTGAGTCTGCCCAGACTCTTAGTGACCCCTCCTTGGGTTTCCGAGGCAGTATCACTATGGTATATATCTATATCTATGTCTATATCTATATCTATATCTGTATACATGTTTATGTCTTTATCTATATAAAGAAAAAGAAACTCACTGCCGAGTCGGATCTGACTCATAGTGACCCCTCCTTGGGTTTCCAAGGTGGTATCACTATGGAAGTAGATTGCCCAACCTTCCTTCCGAGAAGTGGCTGGTAGGTTTGAATCACCAGCCTTTTGTTTAACAGTCAAATGCCTTAGGTACTACACCACCAGAGCTCCCACCCCAGGAATAGAGAGAGTAAATCTTTAGCTTGGAATCTGAGGGTTTAACTGGGGCTAGAACAGAGATTTCTGTATGTTGCTTTGCCTGAGGACACAGATAGGGGTGTGAGTTTACAAGTGTAGTGGAAGTTTTATTGAGGTAGTAATAAACGTGTGTATTTTCATATATACAAATTCATATTCAATATCTACCTATACTCCTATTTTTATATACATGCCATACCACTGGATTATAAAATTATGATGAAAATGATTCATTAAAGTCAGCTAATTAAGTTCATTTATACAGACACAGCAAAACCAAAACAAAATCCACTGCCATTGAGTTGATTCTGACTCATAGCAACCACCATTGAGTTTCTGAGGCAGTAAATCTTTACAGAAGTAGATTGCTCTGTCTTCCTTTCATTGAGTAGCTGGTGGGTTGGAACCACCAACCTTCTGGGTAGCAGTCAAATGCCTTAGGTACTGCACCACTAGAGTTCCTTATGCACACACACACACACACACACACACCTCAAAACGTGTGTGTATATACGTATAAGGAGATCTGGTAGAGGAGTTGAACACTTCAGGGTGTTTCCTTGAAAGTGGAATTATAAAGTTCCAAAAGGTTAAAGGACCTCTGAAATAAACTTTGAATTTAGATAGTAGGTTAACTTCTTTTTAAAAGGTTATTTTGAATCACCTTGGACTTAATGGGTTATTTCTGAATTTTTTTCTACCTTAAATGGTAACAGATATGAATCTAACTTTTAAAAAATAATTACTTATGATAGTCAATATGTACACAAAGAATAAAGCAATGGCACTCAATCAGAGAGCTAGAGTACAGAGATCAACCTTTTTGGTTGATCAACTTATTATTTGGCTAAAACTTACAGTGTTATAGCACATTTGAAAAAAGCAGCACTGTGATTTTACCATGGAAATGCTGATATAACTGACTGCTCTGCTATAATTGATATCCTTGAGAGCTGAATTTGTTCCACAGTACTATAATAACAAAATTAACTGTCAGCATTTACAGCAAAAACATTGACAACACTGGTTTTAAACACACTAGTTTTAAGTTTGTTATTTAAAAGATGGTTTCTGTTATTTATGTATACTTTCATGCCAGCTGCACTCAGTACCACATGTGAGGTAGTGTTTCTAAGCCATTCTATAAAAGCATCTTTGCTCAAAGATAAACATGGGTAAAAAGCTTTACTTACTATGACAGTCTCCCAGACCATCTGTATTGCCGCGTTCTATGTCCTGTTCAAAAGTCAGTCTTAAAAAAAAAATAAATAAATAAGAGGGAAAGAAAGAAACAAACAATAATGTGAGTCATTATTTGGGAATGAGTTTTAAGTTTCACTAAAGAAAACAACACAGTGTGATAAATTGAGTGGCAGGTGCAAAAAAGAAATAGATAACAGCTTGAATCTTTCTCTCTGAAGTTTATAGAAATGAGTCCTAAGTGGATCTCCAAAGAGAAGCCAGGGTTTAAGCAGTTAATTAAGATATTATTAGTTAGTTTGTAGATTATTAATATCCTTCTTTTACTTCTCTGAGTAACTTTTCAAACATTTGTCCTCTTCAATTCCATTCTTTCCTTCTATTTATGTATTTCTTTTCTTACCAATAACTTGGTTTAAGGTAAAAAGGCCTCTGGTCCATACAAGTGGCCAATGTAGGACCTGGTGGTACCATTTGTTGAGACCCTTAAGGTACTTGGTTGTTTCTAGTCCTACCCCTGACCCTCAGGAGTCTTGCTCTCAAGCTTCTCCATATGCTCATGTTTTAAGATGCCCAGCAGGTCACCATTGAGCTGTATCAGCTAAGTAAAATTAATAAGACCAGTTTTAATATCATCTATTTCTATTTTTTAAACAAGTATGCCTGAAACATCCAAACATCCAAAGGAGTAGTGCCTTTTTTTTTTTTGGAAATAAACTGTTTATTCCCACAATATAAGTGAAACTCGTCTTCTGCGAATGCCTTTGGAGTTTATATATGAGCCATATGGGAAAACTAATTTATTTTGAAAAATCACCCTTTGATCTAATAATCCACCATATTTACTTTCCAATGTCTCTTGCTGTGTTAAAAATCAAATTTATCCCCATAGCTTTAAAATTTCTAAACCAAATGAAAAGCAAAATATTCATCAGGCCCTGAAACCCACTCCCCACAAGGAATTCCACATATTTTGAGCAATGCCAGTGTCAACCAAAATACGTATGTAGACCCCTAAGACAACTATCTTGGACTTCTGATGTTGATTTAAAAAAATAATTTTTAAAAATCAGTCCCTTTACCTTGATCACACCTGGAAGATATAAAGGACACAGGCTATTTCTTACCTTTCCTTACTGTGCTTTATGATTCTTTCTTACTTCAACTCAAGGGTTCTCATAAAAAGATAGGAAGCTCTAGCATTATAGAACATCAATATTGTTACATGTAAAGATGCTCTAATAAAATATAATGAGTCAATTCTTTCTGTTAATCAAATTTCCAGGTCAGATTTTACAGTTATCATTAGCTCTGTTTATGGGAATACTTTTCCTCAAATTATACAAGTGGTGATCATCAGATAGGTCCTTTTGTCTGTTTGTCTAGTTTTTCTAAAATGGGAGAGGAGGCTTAGAGCAATGTGATGTTTCTGATCCTTCTTTGGATCTGGGTAGGTTGATGGAGAAGCTAGGAAAGGTCTTTGCTGCCGTATGGTACATTCCTTGAGTTGCCACAACCTGTCAAGAACATGCATTAAATACGTTTCCAAATGTTATTTTAGATTTCACATCCAATGATGTAAAAACATAAAAAGAAACCTCTTAACCAATGCTATCTCAACATTTAAAGCTAGGGTAAGAATTTTAAGCACCAAAATCACAGGCATGGTAGACTGGCCTGATCTAGCTGATCTGCTGGAGAATTGCCAAGAATTGATTGATGGCCTATGAAGTAATAGGGTCAACTGTTCTGCAGTGCAGGAGAAAGGTTTATTGGATGTATACACCATACTTGCTGTATAAATGCATTGTTAACAAATGCTCTGCCATTTCTCCTCAGACCTGCACAGTCAATTAAAAGAGCCAGTTTTGCTAGGGCTGGACGAACCACATCAGTAATCTAATTGAATCCTATTGCTCCTTTTCTCTGCTACTCTTGTACTGTGAGGAACAAGGCATGCACCTTCTTGTCTGTCTCTCTAGAGAATACTTAGAAGTCCACTGTGTTTCCTTTCTCTGTGTTTTTAATCAGTCTGGGGATGGTGAATCAGTTGGAGATCTGCCACATGTGATGTTGTGGGGTTCTATATAGGAAAAGAGGAAGAATGTCTGGAAATCCCTTTGGTGAGGTTGGCGCAGAGAAGGCTGGGTGGCAGTGGTGTGCATGAGTATAGCTAATTGTATATCTGGCATGCGTATCAGCCGAAGGCCATCTTACCCTCTCCCACATCGTGGGCTCCTTACCTGCTGCTGGGTGACAGATGGGCACAGGAACCTCCTTCCTTTACCCATCCACAATATGGATCTCTGGAGGCAATGCAGGTTCTGCAGGAAGAGGATGATCATGAGCTACCTAGGAATCCTTTCTAATCATGTGGACTTTTAATGGTCAATGAGGAAAAACACCTACTTTTTACATTTCCCATGACGTTCACATCGGCCAAGGGGAACCTTAATCACACAGGTGGAGAACGCAACATACAGAGAACTGCTTGCTTTGTCCAGCTGCATGCCCATAATCCTCTTGTCTTCTACTCCATCATAACTGCACCTAATTTTATAAGGCAGGATATCATATTTATACTCTTAGGTCAGTTTTCCTCTGCTACCATCCTCATACCCCACCTTACCTCACAGCCACAAGTGATTTCTTAATTTTTTCTGTCTAACTGAAGATGGAAATTATGTGCATACACACACACACACAATTACTGGCAAGAAGAAAATAATGTTTACTGTGTGTTACAAGATTTTTATAAGTAACATAAAAAATCATTTAAAAATGCATACAACCCAAATCTTCCATGATTTTTTCTGAATCAAAGGGGGTATAATAGCATAACAAGTTATTACTATGAAAGACACAAACACTCCACTCACTTTTCAGGGTTATAAATGCTCATCTCCTCCAGGAAAAGGCTGTCATTTAAGAAACCACTATTTCCTATCCTCGCCAGGAACTTCAAGATGATTCCCTTCTCTGATCCCAGGAAAACCACAGTGTGATTCTGATAGGGCCCAGCAGCCATGTCCACTGCAATTTTGGTCAGGCGGTATCTAGAATAACAGGATCACATTTTTTATCTCTTTGTTGGTCTATCATTAAATTATCTCCTTTTCCACTTCAAACTACTTTGACATAGCTTTCTAGTAATAGCTTCAACAAAAATTTAGTACATCAATAATGCTCAAACTGTTCTGACCCTTTATTTCCATATGCAGACCATTAGTATGGCTCCAAAGGAGAGGAAACAGGTATGTGTGTGTGGAGGCCAAGTTCCACAATAAATAGACAGCTGTAACTGTCTGAAATCACTCAGCAATTATCTGTTCCATGAGCAACAAGGAAAAGCTGATATCTCCTTTGAATATATCATTTAACATTGACAAGAAAGCAATGCTACCATTTATCCAAACTCATTCTCTGAGGTGTAAAGCCTTGTAAAAAACAATGTCAGATTGGAAAGCTTTTCAATTGTATATGCAGGAGCTGAGAGTTCTGAAGGATGGAGAAGCAGACAGTTGGTGGCACTTCCACTAAACATAAAGGTGCACCAGCCAAGCAAGATTCATGGAAAGCCACATGCCTAGAATAAGTCCCAATAGGCATCCTCTTTCTGTGAGATCTTCTGATCATTCAACATTCCGTGGATACCTATTTCTCCTAAGTACTATGGCAGCAACTAGAAAACATGGACCCTCCTGCAAGTTATATATGATTTTTTTTTAATCTTATGGGCAAGAGTCATCATAGTACTTTAGCACCTCTCAATAAAGTCATGATGTAAGAAATGGAGGTACTGTTATAGTTCTTTTAGAATTTGTCTAGCAGGTTTGCAGGAAGATCACCACCCTAACAAAAAATAAATAAAAGGAAAAAAAGGAGGTAAAATTAATTAACATTTTATTTGATTACTGGCACAATTGGATGGTACTTCAAAAGCCTTTTGATATGTTTGGAAACAAACTCTTAATAAATATAAAGGACAATCAACCACATGAGATTGAAAGGGCAGGATTTGCCCAGGGATAAAGCTCAGAAGACAGGAAGGGACAGGAAACAAGGATAAATGGAAATGGGGAACATAAGAAAGAAGTGAGAAGAGTGCTGTTACATTTTGGGGACTGCAATCAATGTCAGGAAACAAATTGTGTTTGTATGGATGAATGGAAAACTAATTTTCCTGTAAATTTTCACCTAAAACACAACAAAAAGAAGAAAAAAAAAAGGAAAAACATAAAGGTGATTGCAGATCTCAAATTAGTTATCTATCCCTTCTCTGTTGGCCACCACTTCAGATAAAGAATATCAAACATGAATCCTTCATGCGGGCATACTAGTGCAAATGTGACATCTAGAGTCCTTTTGCAAACTAACAATCCAGGGACCTCTTTGTAACCAAACAACCAACAGGATGTGGTTATCAAAGAGGTATTGACTGACTCTCCATCAGTTGGAGATCTTTGCACAGATTTGGTTAATAGACTAACTCAGAAGAAGCATCTTCATTTCCTCTAAAAGCTAGCAAGTGTCTAAATACCCAGGAAATACAGGATATCTTGCCAATGTGTCTATGGGGGTTTGATGGCATCCACTCAACCTGTCAGCATTTCATAGCTGAATCAATGCCCAGGATAACAGAAGCTGTTTGTGGTATTTCAAAGAATGGATGGTTCTCTGAGTGTGAGAAGGAGGCAGGGAAACCCACCTAGAACTTGGTTTGCCAGCCACCTACCTGACCATCGTTCTCAAGAACCATGGTCTGTTGATAATGGAAGGCACCGCCTCATCCATGAGCGGATGCGTCTTGATGAAGTTGAGAGTATCATCAGGAAACTCATTGGAGGTTGCATATTTTTCTAAGGAGGATGAGCCAGCGCAGCATCCTGGCCTAAAATGAAACAAAGAGTGGGAGGGAGGGAGCTTATTTCTTGCCTTATGGCAAATTCTTTGAATGAACTGCTTCTCTAAGCATCTGGCATAAGGGAGAATGTGCCACAGGCTGAGAAGAGGAAGTTGAACAATGCCGAATGCCACCAAATAAAACATGCTTAGATTTCCTCTGGGCCGCCTCTTCATTCCAGAGGGAGCCTCAGCCAGGGGCAGCTTGGCTTCCTCCCAGCAGCACAAATAAACCCCAGTAAGCAGTGATGGAGCTTGGAACAAGTGAACAAGTTCGTGGTTTGCACATATCTCAGGGACGGCACTACTCATCCTAAAACCCCAGCAGACATTCTTTAGGCATTTGCTTTGTAGAAGGAGAGAACTTTTTTTTTTTTTAAAACAACTCTCAAAAACAAAGGCCTTCAAAATGGTTTCAGGGTGCATACCAGCAAAGTTCAATGACTGGTTTTGATTTTTGCTTGATTATGACAGGTATGAAAAACCAATTATGCTAAAGATTTTTTCCCAAACGTCACTTCCTGTAATTGAACAATGACATTGAAAATTCATTTTTATTAAAAAGTCTATGGTTTCAGAAATCAATGAACACCCCATTAAATTCAGACCAGGGAAATACACGAGCTAGTCCTATCTAAGGGCAGCTGGTTTACCCACTGGCACAGGAGAAGGAATTGGGTCCCCACAACACAGGCATGACTAGCTCTCACGTAGCTGATGTTTTTCAGTTCTACCCTGCTTCCAGGTGCTAGGAGTCTCTGGTTGGTGCAATCATTAGCATACTTGGTTGCTAGCTGAAAGCTGAGTTCACCCAGAGGTGCCTTGGAAGAAAAGCCTGGCAATTTCCTTCAGAAAAATCAGCCATTGAAAACTCTTGAAGGCTAGCTCTACTCTGACATAGGAGGTCACAATGAGTTGGAGTTCACTCGATGGAAACTGGTTTTCAGGGTACTAACCCAGGCAGCTCAGTGAACTCTGATTGTCTGTAAGAAGAGCACAGCGAACATGTGGAGAGATCAGGGTCAACTCACTGACATGGTTAGAAACTCCCTTCAAGTTTAAAGCGTCTTCACATACAGAGGAGATTTTATTAAATCAGTGCTCTCTGAAACCTGACCCTCCAGGCTTAACTCTGCTTTCTGCTTATCTAGAGGGTAGCTAAAATAAGTCAGTGCCTTTTCTCTCCAGCACTTACTTAGAAAATGAATGAAGTTGACCAGGTGTGATTTTTGCACCTTGTCTGCTATCCATAAGCAACAAAGTGTGCACATGTGAGATAATTCAGGTGATCAAGATTTAGGAATAGCATGGGTTTCTTCCTTGGATATAGAGGTTTACATTCTCTAAGTTAGTTCAAATGTACTGGGCTAGGTAATTTGTGTGGAGGATTGGAGGTTAAGGGAGGGAGCTAGGTGCAAAAAACACAAAATAATAAATCACTGGGCTTCCTTCCAGAGGCTCAGAAATTCAGTGGGGGAAGGCAGTCACACAGCTGCTTCTGTATAACTAAAATTGCAAATGCTATAATGGAGGTATGGAAAGTGTGTCACATAGAAAAGGCAAGCACAGGGTTGAGGAGAGAGTCCCACTCCTGTCCTACTTAGAAAGAATGTATTGAAGATAAGGAAGCAGATTATGTAGGACCAAGAGGTCTCTGGATCAAAGGTTCCCTATGAAAGCACTTGTAGGGTGCAATTCAGGGACAATGGGACTCTGCACTCCATCTAGACACGAAACAAACTAGAACCTGGTAGACCAGAGATAACCTAATGATGCTCTGTACCTGCTGGGCTCTTCCTGCCGTTGGCCTGGAGTCTTATGTTCAGGTCAAACCTGGTCTGGTCACAAGATCTAGGGGATACCACTTAAAATTCATACTTTATTAGGTATAAAAGACATACATCAGTTGATTTGGGACTCATAGTGAACCGCTGTGGCAAAGGAGACCTGCCCCACAGGATTTCTAGGTTGTAATCTTTTCACAGGAACAAATTACCAGGTCTTTCTCCGGTGAATCCACTGGGTGGGTTTGAGTTGTCCCTTTTCAGTTAGCAGCCACGTGTTTTAACTGTTGTACCACCAGGGCTCATGTACCTCTATAAAACTGAATGGAACCAGGGAGGAAAAGTAGAAATAATCTACCCAGCTTTGTGAGCTTGTAAAATACACTTTACCTCTCTGGGCCTCAGTTTCACCACCTACAGGCCAATGGAGTTGTGTGGACCAAACATTTCCTTTCATTCTCAGATTACAGTGGACAGGTTGCCAATGTAGAGGGCGAGCAAAAGACTATAGCCCTTTCCATCCTTTCAGCATGTGTATTCACATGGCCAGCATGGAAAGCACCCGTATGTTGTTCATACAGGATGGTCACTATCAGAAGAGCATGGCTCAAGGTCTGGAAGCTTAAAATTGCCTTATAAATCTTCACATGTACCTGGGCTTAGGCACTCGTTCATCAGGAACTGGTGTCCATGTGGAATCCGGAGACTTTTGTTCTTTGAATCTCCCAGTAAACACACTGGCAATGTCAAGCATGTCATAGGCACAGACTGCAGACCCAGGGATGCTGTAACATGACATTTCACAAAAAGCATTACTCGGCAGTTATGTATAGTTTGCAAAACATACTCCATGGGAATGTTCCTGTTACAGGCAGTTGAAATTTAAAGTTTATACCCCGAAGACTATGAATGGAAGTGATCTTGGTGCATAAAGTGAATGTTTTCATTGAGTGTTTTCAATGAAACTTGCACCAGTGGACTTAAAGAAAGGGCTAACTCCAGCAAACTCAAAGGGAGAAAAAAAATTTCTTCATGTCTTCACTCCCTATGGAGACTGCTGTTGTTTACAAAGGCAGAATTTTTGAGCTGATGATTTAGAAGTTTCTTGAATTCCATGATATTAATTATCATCGATAATCCAAAGATAAAATCTCTGGAGAATATTCTGCATCTCTAACATTAGTGATATGTCCATACATGCTTTTTGAATTTGGTTCTTTAAGCTAAGAACTCAGGGTATGAGAAAGTGTGTGGAGGGAACCCACACATATTTTATATTAGTGACGATACATTCAAATTTTTACTTCTTATTTATTTGCATAAAACAAAAGTGCCAGTGTTCTGCAAATAAAGTACTCTACTCACTAAACAACTCACTGCCATCGAGTCAGATCTGACTCATAGTGCCCGCTCTTTGGGTTTCTGAAGGAGTATCACTACGGAAGTAGATTGCCCAGTTTTCCTTCTGAGGAGTGGCTGGTGGGTTTGAACCGCCAGCCTTCTGGTTAGCAGTCAAGTGCCTTAGGCACTATGCTAAATAATAATAATCATAGTAATCTCCACCTATAATTACATCCTTGCCTCCTGGGAGGACATGGAGAGTTTTCTTTCCATCAATGGTGGAAAGGCATGAATAATTCATTCTTCTGGGTACATTGTTTACATTTGAACCCATATTTATTTTTGACTATAGTAGGTACTTGATTTTGATAAAATATATGGTAGGAAACACTGCCCAAGCACTGTAATTAGGTTTTTAAGGTAGGGGGCCACTCCATTACAAAAGCACCCAGGGCAAGGGACACAGGTGCTTTGCAGCGTGGGAACATCATCTGGGCTGAGCGAACAATTTACTCTGGATTTTACATATGTTGAAAGGATATGGAAATCACTTCTTAAATGGTATGGGGAATTTTTAGCTGTCTTTAATTTCATAACACAATTATTGAAGTATTACTAATAAAGTAAGAAGTAGAGAGAAGATAAAAAGCTTATTGAAAACAAGGTGGAAGGATTAATAGGGAAAATTTAAAGGATTATCTTTTTATAAAGGATGCATTATATATATTATTCACAGAATTGAATTTATAAAACAGGGATCACCATTTGTGTTGGAATTTCAGAAGCCTGGCATTATTTATTTTCTTTTATAAGAATCTCTTCCCATTCTCTTTCTTGATAGTGACAGGTGGATATATTTACCTATATATAATAAAACAGAGTAAGTACTGCTTGAAGAATTTTATGATACATCTTGTAATAACTTAAGACACCACAGGGTTTTATAATCTTCCCAAGATTAGAATTGCTTGTGAAATCCTTTCTTCTTTCTTCTCTACTTTCTTCCCTTCCCCCTTTCCTTCTTTACATTTTCCCTTCCTTCTTTTCCTCCTTCTATTCATCTATTTTGGAATATATATTTTTGGAAATATATATTAATGGAAATTCTAATATATCGCATTCAGTAGATGTTCCATAAACAGTATAGAGTTCCTACTCTCAGTTGGATCACAGTTCACTATGGGGCAAATAATTACAATAACAACAACTTGTTATTGAATGAAAAACAAGCAATAACAACAACTCCAGGACAATCTGGAAAGAGCATGAATAAAAGAGGTATGTACAACGAGCAACGAATAAAAGAGGTATGTACAAAGTCCCATGGAAGTCACTCTAGAGCTGCGACTTGGTGCACCCTTAGGATTTCCACAGGCAGAAGTGAGATGGAGGGCAGCCCTGGCAGAGAGCAGGGCATGAACAAAGTATGGCACTTCAAGAAATGGCTCTTAGCTGCAGCAGGCCTGTGACATGGACAATGTGGCAGAAGATGGGAGATGAGCTGAAGGAGGAGATGGAATCAGACCATTAAGGGGTTTTCATGTCATGCCCAGGAACTTGGGATTTATCTTCAGGCCAAAGAGAAAGCTCTAAGGGATTTGGAACAATCTGACATGGCCAGGTTTGCATATGTGGCGGATGGAGTGAACAAGGATGAAAAGAAAGTGAGTAAATCCAGAGAGAACTATAATTTATGGATGAAAATAGGCATGCATAAGAAAACCAAAATGAATGGAAACAATTAGTCCTAGCGACTGGTACACCATCCAATCTGCAACCTATACAACTATGAGACCAAAAGAACTAGATGGTGCCTGGCTACCACTGTCATCCACTTGGAAGGGGATCTATGTAGGAGATCCTGGATAGAGAGGGAGAACAATGTGGAACAAAACTCAAAATCATTTGGAGGGAAAAACAAAAAGAATGTGGGGACCAGGTCTGTTGGTCCAATAGAGCCTGGTGGAACCACTGAGACTATGGCCCCTAGCTGCCCTTCAGTTCTGAAATTGAACCCACACCTGTTATCCATTCATCTCTTGATGGACATGTGGATTGACTCCATCTTTTGCCAGGGTGAATAGTTCTGCAGTGAACACCGGTGTACAAAAATCTATTTGAGTCCTTACTTTCAATATTTCTGGGTATACCTAGGAGTGAAATTGATGGGTCAGCCAAACAAAGTACAGGCATGTGAGTTAAACACTTACCTCAAGTAGACACACGCCTTGGAGAGAACAATCATGGGAGAAAGAAGAGCTGCTTATGCACAGGGAGACAGCTCAGGGGGCAGGAGAGGATGGAGGGATGGACACTGGGAAGAGGTAACTATGGGGAGGAAGTGGGAGGGGAGCTGTTGCATTATGGTAAACTGTGGTCAATGACATGAGACAAAGTATATGTGAACTGCTGTATGGAAAGTGAATTTGCTCTGTAAATCTTCACCCAAATCACAATTAAAAAAAAAAGAAAGAAAGAAAATAGGCATGCATATTTTTAAACTGGGAAGATAGATTACCATTTTCTGATTTTACCGAACAAATAGGTTTTCTGATACTGCATAAGCATGTGCTAAGGGGATGTTTCTTGGGGCCTTTTCAGAAAATACTTTAAATAGAGTATGCACAATACTCAGGAACCTACTACTGTATAGTAATTACAAAATACCCTCTCCCCCAAAGAAAAAAGATAAATTACAAAAGTGCTCATAAATTCTACCAGCCCCTGCATCCCACTCTACATGACAGTATATGTTTTTGACAGTCCTAAATAGATGGGATCTGACTTAGAAAAACAAGGCCTGAGTTTTTGAAACTTTCCTTATCTCAAGTCTAACAATCCCAACAGGTGGTCAAAATGCACTTAAACCTAAGTGAAAACTTCTTGCTGAAACACGGGTTCATATTTTTATGTATTTTTAATGGGGTACTCTTTTTTAAAATTTTTAACCATTTTTAATTACACAACCCAATGACATAAATTATATTCACAATGTTGTGCAACCATTGCCACTATCTGTTTCTAAAACTTTTTCATCACCCCGAACAGAAACTCAGTATCCCTTAAGCAATAACTCCCCATTCTCCCTGCTTAGCATAATGTTTTATATCACTTAGCATAATGTTTTCAAGGTTCATCCATGATGTTGTATGATCAGAAATTCATTTCCCTCTATGGCTGAATAATATTCTATTGCATGTATGTGTGTATTAATATATATCACATTTTGGTTATCCATTCATCTCTTGATGAACATGTGGGTTGACTCCATCTTTTGCCATGGTGAATAGTTCTGCAGTGAACACTGGTGTACAAAAATCTATTTGAGTCCTTACTTTCAATATTTCTGGGTATACCTAGGAGTGAAACTGATGGGTCATATTGTAATTCTACGTTTAACTTTTTGAGGAACTGTTGACTGTTTTCACAGTGGCTGTACCTTTTTACATTCCCAGTTGGCAATTCTCAACTCTTTCCCTCATATAATTGAGGAACATTATTTCATCCTTTAACTTGCACTGTTTCAGGCTTTATTTCTTAAACATTTCTTTCTAGATGTTATGCTCCATCTCAACATTTATGTTGCTGTCATGTAGGTACTCATTGAGTTCTTAAAAGTCTTTGTAAAAACTATAATCCAAAGCAGAGCAGTATTATTTGTAAAGGAAGATATTCATATAGAAAATACAGCATTCTACATAAACACAAGAACACAGCTTGAGTATTTAGACCTCATGACCATACCCAGAATTATGACCATTTTCACACAAAGGCACTAGAACTCTGAGATCTATTTGGCTTAGTGGAGAAATGAGTACTAGGGAACATAATGCCTACCTTCCCACTAGCCATTAGTCTTCGTATATATTTTTTCCACTGCTCTAGGAACAATTGTTAGTGTGGCATTTAATTGCTCTATGTCTTAGATTATCTAAATTAAAAAAAAAAAAAAGGAATGAACAGGCTGTCACTCAGTATTTCTAGATGCAAGTTTTGGTGGTTTATAAATCCTCACTACAGTCCACCAGAGTTAGACAATGATGCTGTCATTGGGATCTTGGTCATGTTATTATTTGTTGAGTGAGACTATCTGAGGGTGATTTCCCCTGAGAGGTCTAGAACCGGGGTTCCTAAGGTGGGGTATAAGATGAAGCCATTTCAATCGTGAATTTTACCCCATAGTATCAGTATTAACAAACTTCCAGTGTTTTACTTCAAAAGTCACCCACCACTCCAGTTACAGACATTTTAATAGTCAAATAGAAAGCTAAATGAGCTGGAAGAGATAGGAGAAAAATTCTTGAGTTCCAAAGCTTCCTCTTCCATCAACTTGCTACTTGTGACTAGGTAGTACAATATTTTGAGTTCATTTCCTTAAGTGTAAAAAGAAGACAATAGTATCCAGTTTCCAGGATTATTGGGATTTATAAATAACATGTGAAAAGCGTTTGCATGCCAGACATATAAAAAAAAAGTTATTGTTATAAGTTATCTGATTACTTTTCCTAAAATTTTAGTCTAATAATGTTGATGCTGTTCATTTGTTGATGAAAATTAAACGCTAATTGCGTCTTAGCTACAAATAATGAGCAGCAATTCTTCCTTCAGTTGCGAATACTGTATATGAGAAGTGAACCCTTGGGAAAAGAAGACAGGAAGAACCGATGAGGTCAACACAGACAGGGTATGGTTACCTGTTATAAGGTGTAGAAAAGGTTGCCAGGACAACATCACGGCCATTAATATGAATCACATCTGTAACTGCCTGCAGTATATTGAAATAAAAATGAGAGTCTCCGGGAACTGAGCAGTTCAGGCGAGCCTTTAAAAAAGATGTCCACTGTTTCTCCAGGACTCTTTGAGACCCTCCCATGTCATTCTTGCAAACCTGAGCCACTCTTGGGAAAACTACCTGCAGAGGAAAAACACAGAGAAAATGCAATGCACACACTCTGTGGGGAGATCTGAGCAGAATCTCCCTTTCTTTGAAAATAAAAACAGAACAACAAGGTGCTTAATTTTATCCCATGTTTCTAAAACCAGTAGCAAGGAAAAAAAAAGAAAGGAAACTCAGCATTGGAACAGCATGTTTTAAAAGATAAGGCTGTGTGGCATTTAATACAGAGCCATAAATCCTTCAGGGGATCAGCTCCCAGCCACATCAACTCATTTCCATACAGACTGCTTAGCTTTTTATTTCCACAAACAAAAGCACACTTTGTATGCACCATCTCTGCCATCCTCACTGGCTGTCTATAGGCATAGACTCTTACTCTAGAGTTTGTGTTCCTCTAACTATACAAGCCACCCTGACATTTTATTTAGGCTTTCTACCTTAGTGACCTTGATCTGCTTTCTCTGGGAAAAAAAAAAAAAACTGAAATGTAATTCCCCTAAGTGTTCTATTGCTTTCTGCAATAAAGACAAAAATCAGAACTTTCAGTTTTACTTCAAGATACTGGATATTTACCTTCTCTCTGGCAAGCAACTTAATTAAAAAGAAAAAGCTGTTGAGTATGCCTGGAAACCAAATCTTAAGATACTTGAAATTCAGTATGAAAGCAATCAAACATCTGTCAATTAAATTTTCAAGAAAAATATTTAAGAGGTTCTCAATAATCTGTTACTCTTCTGACAAAGCATACAAATGTTTATTGTTGGTTACCAGGTGTTGTGAGAGGGGAAGATGGGGAGGTGGTGTGATCTTTAGGGGGTTCTGAATTTCTGTGTGAGGTGATGAAAAACTTAGAAATGGAGAGTGGTGATGGTTGCATAACAGGATGAATGCTATTAACATCACCGAATTGTATACTTAAAAACAGTTTCAATCATTTTTTTGGTTGTTAATATATCTGCCACAATAACTTTAAAAGAAAAGGGAAAATATGTAGACCTTTAAGACAGTACAATGCTTCATATCCAGCAATTTGTGGCTGGCTCTTCTCAAAATGATGACCCTGTCATTAAGATGTATGGTTCTAATTTCAAGGCCATTCACAATATCAGCCCCAAAGCAGATTTCTGAAAAGGTTACAAAGGAAGCCAGAGATGTCCTCCTCTCTTACCTTTCCCATGGTGTTGTACTCCACTGCTATTTCCCTAAAGAAGAAGTAGATGTAGTCTCCATAATCCACCGCTTGGACAAAATACGGCTCTGTGGACAAATGAGCACTTTAATTGGGGGACATGTCAAGCAGAATTAAAAGAAGAACTTTAATCAATTGAGAATTTCAATCAAATTGAATTAATTTATTAATTAAAAGGGTAAGGCCATTAAACACTGGTTACCAGGAACCATTTGTAATGACTTCATACATGACAGTGCCGGTGATTTCAAAAGATATTGGAGCCTATAAATTATTTTCTTCAGAAGCTGTTATAATCCACAATGAAGAACAAATGACTTTTGCATACCTCTGTAATTTTATTTTCCACAATGGAATCACCTTATTACAGCAAGGACTTTGTACACATCTCCTTGTCAACCCTGACTCACTCAGGGTTGTGAATAGCTTTTTTCCAGTTTCCCTATTGCCTCCAACCCCTGTCCCCTTCCAGGAATGAATTGTTCAGTTCTTTTCATGTGGGACACTGAAATGAGAGTTTGAGGCAGGGAAAGATGAATGTAATGTATTCTATTGTAGTGGCACTGGTAGTTTTGTTAATACTCCAGAAACTCACGGGAAGGGAAAAAGGGAGGTAAATAAATCAGTTGAGGCAAAAGATGCAATTTACATTTTCCTATCTGTCAGAAGCTGTTACTAAAATGAAAACTACAGTCTGGTCCATCCAGACACTAAATCTCCCACAAGATATGTATTTTCCTCATCCCTCCTCTTTTCTCCTTTTAATTGTTCACCTTTCAACCATTTTGAATCATGCTTGACGGTCCGCAAGGTTGGGCTGTCTCCAAGACTCCGGTAAATGACTGCATCGATGGCGAGGAAATCAGTCACTGTGGCTGAATACAGCTTTCCATCTAAGACGAATAAGTAAAGCGGTGAATGGGGAAGGCAGTCGGGGAGCGAGAATAATAACAAAAGCAAAATCCCCCAGATTGCTTTCCTACATCAGGCAAATGAGATAGGACAACTGGGGAAAATTCAAAAGTCGCTAGAAAAATACTTGGCCCACATTCCCAGCTATTTTTAATTGGGATCATGAGAGATGAAACATTTTTCATTTTTAAATTGCACGGCAATTTTTAAGCAGCAGCAGCTCAGGGAACAAAGTAAATGAAAAATGTTTTTGCCTCACTTGATTAGGTGGACCTTGACTGAAATCCCAAGGCCAAGACCCTTGGACACTGCCTCCATCACCACACCGTGGTAAACTGGATTAGGAGACAATCCAGAGAAAGATAGGAGTTGATCATATCACCAGCAATTTTAAGTACAAGCAGAAATAATGGGTTCTCAGTCAGAGCAGATGAGGGGAGTGGAAGAATGGTCCACAAACGAAAAGGACAGACTAAATTTCATCCCAATTAGCAACTATTTATATCTCGAGAGTTCCTGCCCTTCTGACCTCAGAAACTCGGCCATTCTTTGTTGTTATTAGCTTAAATAAAAGACATTGGCTTCAGCATTTCCAAAGTCATAAACTAAATACATTCGGATATACAAGATGCCAAAGCAAAGAAGAAAAGGTAGAGAGGGGTGATGTAGAATTCAACCTGGCCTTTATGAATTCATGCTTTTGGGGAGACATATTTGAGGCTATTTCCAAGTCAAAAGACTATGAGGAAGATTGAAGCTTAATCCTCAAAACTTTTGGTTCAACATTCTTAACACAAATAATCAAATTGGGATATTCTAGAACATTTAAATCTATGTAAATGAAATAGAACCAATAATTATGTTCAAAACTTTTTAATTATTTCCCACATTCATTTTGAATGAATTATATATTTTCTTTCCTTGTATGTCCAAGTGACTTATGTACAACATAGGATCCTTAAGGATTTCCACTTGTGGGATAGACATCATAGCTTACAAACAAAAAACAAAAACAAAAAACTTTATCCAAACATACCCAAACAAAATTACTGATACACACGTTTAGTCTTAACAACTGAAATTTTCTCTCGTTCAAGTTGGAGCTGTTTTGACATCTGCATCACTACAACCCATACATCAACGAATGTTGACTATTTTGGTTAGATTAGAACTGCAGTCGGCAAAACTTTCCTTTGAAAAACACATATCTACAAAGCACAACTTTCCTTATGCAGTCAAAGGCCCAGTTCACACAGATATACATTTGTGTGTGTGTGCTGGTGGTGGGGGTTTGCACAAGAGAGAAGAGGTCATTCCTCTCAGCTACTCTCTAGGACTTCTTGTTTCACATTCATTTCAAACTGGATATACCATGAGAACTCTTATATGTAAAACAGGGCACTCTTCCGTCACTCTTGGTAATAAGGCTATCATTTAGTTGCAACAATGATCTTCCATTAATAAAGGCTGAGCTTTTATGAGATTTTGAACATTTCTATGATAAAGTATTTAAATAAACTTAATATTTTGAGGGGGTGAGGGCTACAGTCATAGTACGTAATACTATCGTCTGTGATTTGCTCTCTGAAAAAAACAAAACAGTTGCCGTTGAGTTGATTCTGACTCATGGTGACCCCATATGTGTCAGAGGAGAACTGTACTTCACAGGGTTTTCAATGGCTGGTTTTTCAGAAGTAGATCCCCAGGCCTTTCTTTCAAGGTGCCTCTGGGGGGACTCAAACTATCAACCTTTCAGTTAGCAGCCCAAATACATTAACCGATAGCACCACCAGCAACTCCTTGCTCCATATAAAAATGGGGGAAGGGGAGATCAAACCAATTTTGCCACTAATTTTATGTTGATTCTGACTTATGGAGACCCCAAGCGCTGCCGAGTAAGTAGAACCGCACTTCACAGGATTGTCATGGCTGTGACCTTTGGAAATAGATTGCCAGGCCTTTCTTCCCAAGGTGCCTCTGGTGGATTTGAAGCACCAACCTTTTGTACAAGAACTTTTAATGGTCAAGCATTTCAACTGGTTGCACCTTGCTCTGTATACCAAAACCAAACCCACTGCCACTGAATTGATTCCAACTCATAACAACCATTGTGTTTCCGAATCTATAAATCTTTTTTATTTTATTTTATTTTATTATTGTGATTTGGGTGAAGATTTACAGAGCAAATTCACTTTCCATACAGCAGTTCACATATACTTTGTCTCATGTCATGGACCACAGTTTACCACAATGCGATTCCCTCCCACTTCCTCCCCATAGTTACCTCTTCCCAGTGTCCATCCCTCCATGGACTCCTGCCCCCTAAGCTGTCTCCCTGTGCATAGGCAGCCCTTCTTTCTCAATGATTGTACTCTCCAAGGAATGTATCTACCTCAGGTAAATGTTCAACTCATATGCCTGTCTTCTGTTTGGCTGGAAACCACGGGTGTGGGTTCAATTCCAGATGAAGGGCAGCTAGGGGCCATAGTCTCAGTGGTTCCACCAGGCTCTATCAGACTAGCAAACCTGGTCTCCCCTCCCCTTTTTTTTTTTCTCCAAATGATTTTGAGTTTTGTTCCACATTGTCTTCCCTCTCTATCAAGGATGAATCTATAAATCTTTATGGAAGGAGACTGCCTCATCTTTCTTCTGTGGAGCAGCTGGTGGGTTTGAACTACCAGTCTTTTGGTTAGCAGCCAAATGCCTTAACCACTGCACCACCAGTTGCTCTACATAGCTCATAGTAAATACTTTGCCCCTTCTCCTTTTTCTCCCTCGGGAGGCTACAAGGTGGCATCTTTTTCAGTTTACAATTAAATTTAAATTCTCACTGCAGCCCACATCTTCCATGCTACTAACTAGAGAAGGTTCCAAGTGTGTGGCGCTACAGCAGTAGTTATGTCATTGAGAATATGTTCAAACCCTCTTGCTCTTGGCCATGCTTATAAATAGGTCTATAAGAGTTTGTGTTTCTTACAATGCTGCTTTCCATAATACTGTGAAGAACCCGATGAACCTTTTCTTCTTAACTTGGCATAAACTGTTGCTACAATCTGTGAATGCAAAATCAGGATCACAAATAGGTGTCACTGAGGATGCGGCTCAAGGAGCCAGAAGCTAATCTTGTTTTATAATCAAAGGCTTAAAGTCCCTCATCCAGCTAGAATGTGCCAGCTTTTAGCTGTTGTGATGGAAATTATAGCTAACTGCTTTATTACATGCTATAACAATCGCTATTATACCAGCACATTTCCCTACACCCACCTCCACATACACAGCTGGCAATGAATTCCTAAATAAATTCCTAATTAAAACACATACACACACATAAAAATCCCACTAAATCTGAAAATGATGCCTTATCTGCTACCTCTTAAGATCTTTTTCAATAGAAAGATGGGGCAGAGGGAGGGACTATGGCTCAATCTATGGTACTGAGCATCATCCAGACCCCTTACCACAGTCGTTAGTGAGAGACAGGCATGGAGCCTACTAATCAGTTCTATGACTCCGATTTGCTGCAAGCTTTTGAGCAAGTGGCTTAACAGATATGAGAGTGTGCTCCAAAGCAATTCTCCCTTCTATGTGTGAAAACAAGAGCACGTATGCCATTTGGGCTAGCCATTATCCTCTGATGGAGAGAGCAGCCAGTCTCGTACTAAAGTGGATATAAAGCAGAGAAATGAGAAAGAGTTGCATTTTGGATGATATTGTTGAGCTACTGACTCAAACCAACCTCAAAGATTACCCTACTTTAAACAAAATATCCATTGGAAGACATAACCTGGTTGGAGTTCACATTTACTATTATTTGTGCCCAGACATGTCCTAACCAAGAAAGGACATACCCAGAATGTTATGTTGTTATCCTTTTCTGAAGGCACAAAACATGGGTAAGTGTGGCAAAGGTCTCTTTTGAGAAGCAAAAGCACAATTTCTATACTAATTACAAATGGAAGAGACATTTTTAATTACAGTATTCACCTGAGAATCAAAGTACAACTGTAGCTCCACGAATCCTCCAGAGCAGATCTGCAGGCTGAAACATGCAAAAGCAAATGCAATATAAAGAAATCAGGTCGTTTACCTGCAAACAGTGCAACGTTGGCATGTTTGGCATCATAAGGGCATCTGGCCATTCCACTAAATTCATCCCCAAAAGGTTCCAAAGTGTCCATCTAAATAAAATCATAGAACTTAATTAGGAATAACCACAACAAACAGTAGTAGTAGTAATTAATATTTATTAAACACTTAATGTGCTAAGTGATACATATGTATTCTTGCAAATAATCCCTACAAATACCCTCTGAGATATATCTATTGGCTTCAGATGAGGAAACTGACATTTATTTACAGAAATTAAGTCACTTGACCAAGGCTCTACACTTAGGAACATGGAAATTTTGTCATATCTGTGTGACTCTTCAAGGAGCCCTGGTGCTATAGTGGTTAAGGCATTTGGATGCTAACAAAAAAGTCAGTTTGAACCCACCAGCCACTCTGCAGGAGAAAAATGTGGCAATCTGCTTCCATAGGATTTATAGCCTTGGAAATCCTATGGGACAGGTCTACTCTGTTCTATAGGGTTAACTGCGAGTTGGAATTGACTCGATGGCAGTAGGTTTGGTTTGGGTGTGATTCTTTCACCATTACAAAAAGTTGATTACAAATATCCTTTTGAAATGATCTAGAAATAAGTGCCTTTCTCTTGGAAAAGGAATTTCTGAGGCAATCACCTCAATTATTTCTTGAGTCATGAATTCTACAGAGATTGACCTCAGTTTTTGGTATTGTTTTGCCTAAGGAGATCTGCCTTTGTAGGTTACATCCCAACAGACAGACAATGGAATTTTTCTCAGCTTAGCTGGCAGAAGAGTATGGCATCAGCAAAGGTGCAAAACCATGGATGCTTCTGCACCTACTTCAGAATGATGGAACGCTAGTTCTGGAAACCATGTTAGAAATGCATTCCAGCCTCCAATGGTATAAAATGGGAAATGGAGGTCCAGAAGCTGAGGGGCTCTTCCAGGTCAAAAGCAGTTAGGAGTGGAGCTGGCATTGGACGTTACGTTTCCCAGGCCCAAAAGATGGTAACTGGCATGTAGATGAGTTTTGTTCAGCAATTTTAGTATTAAAATGTAAATAAAAACTAAGCACAAATTTTAAAACAAAGACATTTCACATAAAAATCCAAATTTCTTGGGTGACATCACAACAGAACCAGCTGAAATAAAAAGGATAATATCAGGATACTATGAAGAACTGTATTCCAACAAATTTGAAAATCTGGA